TCTCTAGCGGACCAACTCCCCTGGCATGCTATCTCTCTATTTGGCCAATTTCTACTCTTTCCATCCAGACCTCTCTCGAAGCCTGGTAGCGGCTACACAGAACCCACAGTTTCAGAAAGAGAGTTATCATTCCCAACAAACTATTAGAATTTCAGAGTTCGCATTTATAGTAGAGTATATGTCAGTTTTTCCTGGCTGGTCTTTTCATGTACTAGTACTGTAACTTGCAATTATCCTTATAGCAAAGATTTGCATTAAATTTTTATTATTTTAACATTATTTGAGAAAGCTGAGAGGTCTTCGTTCGTTCGTTCGTTCACTCATTCAGTCAATCAATCAATCAAAAATATGACGCCATTCTATGCCAACAAACACTCCTCACAGCTTCAGTACTTCGCACGTCACACTTCCTTCTATTTCAATATATACACTGCAAAAACACGGACTGCTCTTGAGCGAGGATCTGTATATGGGTATCCTGGCACCGCTTATCGATAAATTCAGGAGGATTGGCAACGGTTAATGATAGTAAATTGACTTGTTATTGCGAAAACTTTTGGGAATGATTTGATTGTATTGCTCAATTTTATTCATGGAGCGTCTGGCAAGACTAGGCCGTGAACACAGGCGGGCGCTCCGTTGTGACTTTTGACCAATCTGGCTTTTAGCTTGGCGATACGAAGAGTTTGTCATTTTGAGAACTTCAGGACAATGCATAACGTTCTACCTAGCATACCAATTGCGCTTGACGAATAATTTACTGACGACGCTAAACATTAAATTCGAGCGGCCAAAATTATGTGATTATAATGACATGACGGTGAAACAAAATCAAATAGCTCTTTATGCCACGCGGAAAAAGGAGCCTGGAAAACGGCATGCAGACCCTCCTGACTGTATGTACTACAGTATCACAGGATACCGGAAGACATACAGACTACTGACTAGGACTTTGGATCTAGGTGAGTCACGCCGGTTCTCACGAGTCCAGGTCTGGTGACCGGCGTCCACACCCCCGCGACCTCTCCTGGTCATACTCTACAAGCAGAAGCTTTCGGAGGTTTACACTTTTGTACAGGCCAGTACATGTATGTATATCCAACGAAAAGCTTACAAAATAGAAAGTCGTGGGAGCGAGCCGCGGTAAAGGGCAGGTGAACGTTGTAGTGGCCAAACTATAAACCTGGCAAATTATTTTTCCTTTTGAGTAAAGAGAGTCTTGTTACACAACCAAGTCTTTAATTCAGCCGACGTTTCAGTGGCCGTTTGTCACCTTCCTCAGTGTCTTACCAACCTGATGAAACTATCCACGGATATTTTTCCTGTTTGGCTGCATTTTACTATATTTCGACCCCCGTTGATAGTTTTGTGGGGACTAGTTCTGTCAGGTCGTGTGCCGGGAAACTTAAGCGGAGTTACACATTAATCAAACCCCGGGGCCGGCAGCGGAGGAATTCGGCGAGAGAGATTTTATAACAGACCAGATGTACATCAACACTGAGCGGTTTACTTTAATACGTTACAAGTACGACCTATATGCAAACAACTGACCCGTGCACTAGTGAATCCAAACACCGCGGTCCACTTTCCTCTTATCGACAACGTGTAGCAATAATGTAACGTCTCTTTGTAGCGTTCAGCTCACTCTTTCTGGTCAGTCACCGACCCGAATTAAGAAGGTTTCATAATTGTACAGTGCGTCCCTATCTTTGCTATGTCACGGATAAACAGCGCAGCGAGCAATACAGTCTACATCGCAGCACAAAC